TAAAAGGAACTGAATCCTTGGGATTATGTGAGCTCTCTATGAAAATATTTACATCTCATGTTTTCATTTTAATGACAATCCAAAATAATTCCTGTAAGGAGCGCAGTCTAAGAATAGTCTGGACAGCCGCGCTATAACCACGCTGTGCTGGGCTGCCCCGTGTTTACACATTGGCATCAAGCAGAGTTATGTTGACTGTTGTGGCTAATGAGAAAAAAGCCACAGGGTAGATTTAATGTATAAACGACTCATTCACACCAAGTGAAGTCACACGCTATCACTCAAAAGTCGCTGAGCTACAGCAATCTGCACCTCGTTCCTGTGACAAAAGGAGTGAAGTCAGCCGCCACAGCAAATGGAGGTTGTGCATGTGAGTTTCATCAGCTGGGCCCTATGTTTAATTTGCAATTTTGATGTGATTTTTATAACCATAGCATAAGGAATTTATATCCAGTTTTAAGTGGTACGTATTTAAATAATATAACATGAAATATCTAAATCAGCCCTGGAATCTGCAAAAAAAGAAAAAAAAAAGTTTCCATTTAACAATGGGCCCAACCTACCCTATGACACATCACTATATAATGTCAGGACCCTGGGGATAAAAGGAGGATCCTGGAAGCTTCCAGAAGAAAACTAGACCACACATGGAAGACAGAGGATTAATGTCAGGGGGTTTCCCTATAGCAACAGAGCATGGAAGCCAACAGCAAGGATTCCAGAAACCCAAGAGGCAAGCATTTCCTCAAGGCCTGCATCCTCCCCACTGTGGTTTGGATGTGGTTTGCCACCTCAGAAAGTCAGAGTGAAATTTGGTCCCCAGTGCAACAGTACTGAGCGAGAGGTGGTGGGAACTTTCAGAGGTGATTCGGTCATGGGGGCATACCCTCATGCATGCGTTAACACCATTCTCTAGAGACTGGGTTTCTTCTCATGAGGCTGGTTGTTATAAAGTGAGTCAGTCCCCTTTGCCCCATCTCGTTTTTCAAGGCTCACCTGCCCTTCCAGTTTTCTGCCACGCTATGACACGCCATGAAGGCTCTCACCAGAAGCCAACCAGATGTGACCCCTCAACCTTGAACTTCCCAGACCTTGAGGTTGGAAATTGTTTCCTCTTGGGACTCTGTAATCCTTGCTCTTGGCTTCCGTTGGGAAGCCTGCTGACATTGATCATCTTCTCCAGAACTAAAAGAAATAAATTTCTTTTAGCCTGTAGCCTTCTATCACAGCAACAGAAAATGAACCTAAGACATTCCCAAACTGTCTATCAAGGATAGAGAAAAAACATAGACATTTTATGACACATTGGATCTTCCATCTTCATATATTTACCTCCCATTTTGGGAAGGAGCGCTCCAGCAAAATAGAGAAATAAAGTTTGATTTTCTTATATCCTCTACAAATGTGGCTCATGAAGGCCAGAGGGCACGTCCCAAAATCGAGATTGAGGAAGGTACATGGGACACCAGAGTGAAGAACAAAGCAGACGGAGGCTTGACAAGCTGGGGCGCATGCGAGGCATGCAGGGGAGCCTGTGATGCCAACCGAGGGCCCAACCCCACTGGGCACCCATCTGCACAGGTGGCCGGCCATTTAGAGTGGCTGGGGTTGGATGGCCTCGCCTTGGGCCTTTAACAGAAGTAGCATGGGTAGACAAGCATATGCCTTTCCAGTGGGATCCCATAGTATCAGTATTTCCCTAATACTCACTTGCTTTAAAAATTAAACAAATGGCTAATGCTCACTTAGAGCCAGAGAGCAAAGTCCTCCCAAAGTCCCCTTTAAAAACATCAAAATAGCCTGACTGAACCTGACTCCATAGTGAGGTGAAGGAATATTTTGCATAGTATTTAAAGGAACCGCCGTTCTTGTCTCCCAGGAGAGCAGGTCCTGACCTACCTGTATCCTATGAAGGTTCACTTCTGGGCCACTGATGCAGATGCTAACGACAGCTTCAGAAAGGAGAGCTACCACAGAGAAAGTCTCCCTTTCCTCCTGCTCATGAAGACACACCCAACACAAGTGAGCAGGCGCGGCATTATCTCACAAATCAACACTGTGAAACAAATACCAGCTCTCGGACATGAAGATTCACATCCTGGGTTAGGTCAGATTGTTGTAGAACTAGGCACATCGACATCAGGATCTCAGAACACCAGGCAAACCCATGCAGCCCTGATGTACTGAGCACCTACTACCTGTCAGGCGCAGCCTTAGATGTCAGGGATAAGGAATGATCAACTGGCAAAAACATTTGCTCTCGTGGGATTAAACCCGAATAGGGGAAGACAGACAATAAACAAGTACAATCAGTGTGGCAAATGGTGATAAATATTTTGTAGAAAAATTAGGCAGGGGAGATAGAGAGTAGGGGGCCTGGAATTTTAAACCAGGCAGTGACAGGGTAAGGCTCAGTGAGACATATGTCTGATTAAAGACATAGCATTAAGGGAAAACACTTAATGTCAGGCTGTGTCTAAGAAGCTGCCAGGAGCCTGGGGTCACTCCAGCAGAGTTGGGGCCATGGTGGGGGAAGGGACAGAGCATGTGGAGACTCGGAGGCTCCTGTAAAGCCTCTGACTTGTGCTGTGAGTGAGAGAAAAGCCGTTGTGGGTTTGAACAGAGGGATGATGGGTTATAATTTACCTGTTAGAAAGGAGGGCATATGTGAAAAGACCACTTAAGAGGCCACAGAAATAAGCTGATAAGAGATAGCATTCGCTTCAACTACGGGGTAGCATAATATATATTCTTTTTCTTTTTTGAGATAGAGTCTCGTTCTGTCACCCAAACTGGAGTATAGTGGCACGATCTTGGCTCACTGCAACCTCCGCCTCCCAGGTTCAGGGGATTCTCCTGCTTCAGTCTCCCAAGTAGCTGAGATTACACACTTCTGCCACCTTGCCCAGCTAATTTTTATATTTTTAGTAGAAATGGGGTTTCACCATATTGACCAGGCTGGTCTCGAACTCCTGATCTCAAGTGATCCACCTGCCTCAGCCTCCCAAGTATGATATATATTTTGTTCTTACAAATGAGCTCTCATCTGGGTCACCGCTGATCCAAACCTCAAAGAGCAAACTGGTGTCTCAAGAGCTCCACCAGGTACTGCAGTTGGCTGAGCCATTTGGCACTTTGCAAGATGGCAAGTCCCAAGCTCACACCTATTACAGCAGCAGGCCAGTGTGATGGGGGTGTGAGCCACTGACAATGCAGACCAGGTGGTGAGAGAAGTGCCCAGGGACTTGTGGTCCCAGAAGTTCAGTGAGGTTGCTAGACGCTGACTAAACCCAGGCTGAACTGCCTCGGGGCAGTGGCAAAGCAGCAAGGAAAAAGAGGCTGAGGAGGCCTTTTCTAGGTCCTGAACCCACCCACCAGGCAGGAGTCTCTTTCCCACACACCAGGGAGGTTGCTCCTCCTCTGTGGGGCTACACCAGTATCACTGGCACCCAGGGCAGGCCTCGTTCATCCCCCAGATCTCTCCCCTACATTTAGAAATTCATTTTAGAAAATGAATATCTCTGGAGAGATTATCAAAGTGCTCCAGACACAACTTGAAAAAAAAAAAAAAAGGACTCTGAGTTGGGGCAGAGTGGTGTTCTACGCCCAGCCTTGGTCTCAAAGGGCTCAAGAGACCACTTCCTTCTGCGATGGGAGGACTCTAGGGAGTCTGGTGAGCAGTGCACAGCATGGGAATAAAGTGACCGAAGCTTCCGACTTCCCTGTATGACCCAGGAAGCCCTGCTTCTCAGCACAGAGGAGATCTCTTGGGTAGGAGCCAAGTGGTGGTGTGCCCAGAACATGGGGTTTGGAGAGAGGCAGGCCCAGGTTTTAATTTCATCTCTGCCTCTGACAACCCTTGAGAGCTGGGGCAGGGCAACGCATCCCCTAAGACTTAGCTCCCACACCTGTGAAATGGAGACTGCTGTCTAATTCTCGGAGCTGGATAAAAATCTGGCACGAATATGCCCAGGCATGTTGTGTAAACTCAACCAATGGCAACAGGACCTCAGTGGGTGCTAAGTCGACTGGGCATATCTGATTCCTCTTCAAATAAATACACACATGTTTCATGTAAATGTCTCTTCCAGGGAATCTTGTACTCCTGATGCCTGAAAATCGTAGTGAAGACCTATCACATTACCAACTCATTCAAAACCACAGGATTCAAAGAGAAAAAAAAGAAAAGGGAAACGTCAGCAAAAAAAGCCAGCTGCAGAGCTTCCCGGAGACAGTCACACAGTGCTCTGCATATGAACACTGACCACGCACAGCTGGTTGTTGACAATGCCCGAGTGAGGAGAAAGCCGGCAGGTTGTTCCTCATGAGGCAAGTGAAAAGAAGTCATGGCTGAGACAGTTCATAAAGATGGCAAGGACCACCTTCTAAGCCGTGCCATAAATGAGGACACTGAGAACACCTTGAAGGAACTGGACACAGTGGCCAGATGGCCACCACCCTCATGGCTCCTGTGTGACTGACAGCAGCATCAGCATCTCCCCTCAGGACCCTCCCTTCCCCATGCAGCACCTGCAGGAAGATCCCGGGAGGGAGAGGAACACCACCAGAAGCTACGGGCTGGTCCTGGGCCGCAGGCAATGGATAAGGACACTGGGATAGGATAAAGGAAGGACTGGCACCACCCAAGGTCAGAGAAGCAGCAGCAGTCCAGCCTATTTCTAAGAAGTCACACCTGTCTATGTCTTGCTTCTCGTTAATTTAGGGATTGGACCTGAGCTGTCTTCTGATAGAGGATGGTCCACAACCACATTTACAGTGGAAATGCTTAAAGCCAAGCAGAACTCAGACTGGAAACACTTAAGTTACCTGAGGATGAAATAAAAGCAGTGGGCAGAAGCCTGTTATAGCCAATTCTTGGAGAGAAGCCGGTTCCCCTGCACTGTCAACTGCTCATGAATGAGACATTCTGGGTTGCTGCAGTGGTAGATTTCCTACCACAGAACACGAAATCCAGACCGATCCACCTCCTGTCTTGGGAAGGCTCCTAGATCAGCAATGGTCAAATACGTCCAGTACTGGCAGGTGCACAGAAGTCTGAGAAGATGATACGGAAATGCCGCTTGGATGACACTGAGAGGAAATTGTGAATCCCATCACAAGGCCTCCCGCTGGTGAGCGGACACGTGGCGCTTCGAGTCCAAAAGGTGATTGCTGATCTGGGTTATCAAGCATGGAAAGACACGAAGGACCCTTAAATGCAGATCCTAAGTGAACGAAGCCAAACTGGAAAGGTGCCATCCTGCATGATTCCAACTACAGGACATTCTGGAAAAGGCTAAAATACGGAGATAGTACAACCATCAGGGATTGCCAGGGGCTGACGGGAGGGAGAGATGACCAGGGCAGAGCGTGGGGCATTTTTCAGGCCAGAAAACCTGTATGATCTTGTAAGGGTGCATATATGTCATCACACATTTGTAAAAACCCAGTTAGAGAAAAATGACACACAACCCCAGATCTCACAGAATGCACAGCACAGAGTGAGCCTGAATGGAAATGATGGACTTTAGTTAACAATAATGTATCAAGATTGTCTCAGCAATTGTAATCGAGACACCACACTAATGCTTGATGTTAAGAAAAAAGGAAACTGGAATGGAGGAATGAGAAAGAAAGGGGTAGATGAGAAGTCTCTGTGCTTTTGGCTCATTTTTCTGTAAATCTAAAATGCTTTTAAAAAATTAAGTTATTAAATTAAAACAAAACAAAAGAGCAAGACTAATGAGCTGGTGGTGGCTGAACCTGGAAGGTGAGGGCCAGAGCTCCCTGTGACTGGCCCTGCTGGCTCTTCTTACAGCTGAGGGCTGGGCAAAAGGTCCAGGTGTGAGTCACAAAATGACATTCAACCAACTGAACCACACCCAGGTCCTCAGCTTCAGCCCTGAGACCAGGGCAGGCACCATGGGGAGCCTCCCAGAGAGGACCCTGCAGGGCTGTCCCAGTGGCAAAGGAGCGGCAAAGTCAGCTGGAGTCTCTTCTGCCCAGTGGGGACTCCAACTCCCGGCTGAGAAGAGCCAGGGTTGCAGCTGACAGGACACGGGCCTGCACTAAACCTAAGAACAGCAAGGGTGCAAATGAGAGAGGGAGAAGCAAAGCCAGGTGGCAGCACAGCCTGAGGCAAGGAGGCGTGGGCTTGAT